TTCTATTAACATGTCAGAAGTTCTACAAACATCTGGAAGTTCTGTGAATATCTCTGAAGTTCTATGAACACCTCGGATGTTCTATGAAATGTTCAGAAGCTCTAAGTACTGTTTGGAAGTTCTATTATATTCTCGGAAGTGGGGGCGACCCCGGCGTAGAGGTTAACATCCATACCTCTCACGTCAAAGTCACGAGTTCAAATCTCACCCCCGGACAAGTCACGAATGACCCAAGAGTGTTAAAGTGACTATAATAAAATAAAAATCTCGGAAGTGCTATGAACTGCTTGGAAGTTGCATGCTCATCTTTGAAGCTCCATGAACATCTTGAAAGTTCTATGAGTGTTTTGAAAGTTCTATGATCTGCTCGGAAATTCTATGATCATCGCTGAAGTTCTATGAACATCTCTGAAGTTCTATTAACATGTCAGAAGTTCTACAAACATCTGGAAGTTCTATGAACATCTCAAAAGTTCTATGAACTGCTCAGAGATTCTATGATAATATCTGAAGTTCTAGGAGAGTTTTGGAAGTTATATGCACTGCTCTGTAATTATATTATCATCGTGGGACTTCCAAGAACATCTCGGAAGTTCTATGAGAATTTCTGAAGTTCTATGAACACCTCGGAAGTTATGTGGATTGCTCGGAAGTTCTGTGAACTGCTTGTAAGTACTATGAATATCTCGGAAGTGCTTTAAACTGCTGGGAAGTTCCATGAACTGGTCGGAAGTTTCATGCTCATTTCGGAAGTTCCTTGAACATCTCTAAAGTTCTATAAGAGTTTTGGAAGTTCTATGATCTGCTCGGAAATTCTATGAACATCTCGGCAGTTATGAGATTCTTTGAAGTTTTATGAACGCCTTGGAAGTTATGTGAACTGCTTGTATGTGCTATGAATATCTCGGAAGTGCTATGAACTGCTCGGAAGATTGCTCGCCTTGGAAGTTCCATGAACATCTCGAAAGTTCTGTGAGAGTTAGGGAAGTTCTATGGTCTGCACGGAAATTCTATGATCATCTCAAAACTTCTATAAAACCTCGGAAATTTTATTATCGCCTTGGAAGCTCTGTGCACATTTCGGAGGTTCTGTGAACTGCTACGAAGTTCTATGAATATCTCGGAAGTACTATAAAATTCCCGTATGTGCTATACACCCCTATTCTGTATTTAGTTTCGAACGAAATTCTCATACAAAAAAATATTTTTTTGTATGAGAATTTCGTTCGAAACAAAATACAGAATAGGGGTGATAAACTGCTAAAAAGTTCCATGAACTGCTCGGAAGTTCCGTGCTCACCTAGGAAGTTCAATGAACACCTCGAAAGTTCTATGAGAGTTTTGGAAGTTCTATGAACTGCTCATAAATTCTATGATCATCGCGGAATTTCTATGTGCTTGTGGTGACAGTTCGGAAGTTCCATGAACATCTCTAGAGTTCTATGAACTGCTCGTAAATTCTATGATCATCGTGAAAGTTCTATGAACATCTCGGAAGTTCTATGATAATCTCTGAAGTTCTATGAACATCTCAGAAGTTCTATAAACATCTGGAAGTTCTATGAATTTCTCAGAGATTCTATGATAATATCTGAAGTTCTATGAACGTCTCAGAAGTTCTATAAACAATCTGAAAGTTCTGTGAACATCTCAGAAGTTTTATGAACACCTCGGATGTTCTATGAAATGTTTAGAAGCTCTAAGTACTGCTTGGAAGTTCTATTATATTCTCGGAAGTGTTATGAACTGCTCGGAAGTTGCATGCTCATCTTTGAAGCTCTATGAACATCTTGAAAGTTCTATGAGTGTTTTGAAAGTTCTATGAGCTGATCGGAAATTCTATGAACATCTCTGAAGTTTTATGAACATCTCAGAAGTTTTATGAACGCCTTGGAAGTTCTATGAATATCTCGGAAGTCTAATATCTAGGAAGTACTATTAAATTCCCGGAAGTACTATAAACTGCCGGGAAGTTCCATGAACTGCTCAGAAGTTTCATGCTCATCTCGAAAGTTTCATGAACACCTCAAAAGTTCTAGGAGAGTTTTGGAAGTTCTATGCAGTGCTTTGAAATTATATTATCATCGTGGAACTGCTATGAACACCTCGGAAGTTCTATGAGAATCTCTGAAGTTCTATGAACACCTCGGAGCTTATGTGGATTTCTCTGAAGTTCTGTGAACTACTTGTAAGTTCTATGAATATCTCCGAAGTGCTATAAACTGCTGGGAAGTTTCATGCTCATTTCGGTAGTTCCATGAACATCTCTAAAGTTCTATGAGAGTTTTGGAAGTTCTATGAACGCCTTGGAAGTTATATGAATATTTCGGAAGTTCTGTGAACTGCTTGTACGTTCTATGAATATCTTGGAAGTGCTATGAACTGCTGGGAAGATCTATGAACTACTCGGAAGATCCATGCTCGCCTTGGAAGTTCCATGAACATCTCGAAAGTTCTGTGACAGTTTTGGAAGTTCGATGGTCAGCACGGAAATTCTATGATCATCTCGGAAGTTTAATGAACGTCTTGGGAGTTCTATGGACATCTCGGAAGTTCTGTGAACTGCTTGTATGTTCTATGAATATCTCGGAAGTACTATAAAATTCCCGGAAGTGCTATAAACTGCTGAAAAGTTCCATGAACTGCTCGAAAGTTCCATGCTCGTCTTGGAAGTTCAATGAACACCTCGAAAGTTCTATGAGAGTTTTGGAAGTTCTATGAACTGCTCGTAAATTCTATGATCATCGTGGATGTTCTATGTGCTTGTGGTGACTGGTATCACGACATCGATCTGATCTGAGATCTGATCAGATCTAAGTTGTATGAATCCCTTAGGGCCCGAGAAAAACAACCTGCTACACCCGTTAGAGACGTTCTGGCTAGCCGTGATTTCGAATATATGAAGATGATTTACAACTTTCTAAAACGGATCGATTTGAGAATTTAGTTTAGAATTCGTAGTTTTTTCAACTGAAGTATCAGTCTTCTAATCGTTCTCCCAAGATAGCCCTTTTTTGTGTTTCGTTCCTGTTGTCCCATCAACCGTCTGTTCACCTTTCGAGATTCAGAGCACTTGCCCGCCACTGCAGTGCTTCTTCTACGTTCATTCATCGAGTGCAACGGCGACGGAGATTAAAACGGCAGTTCACCTCCATGTGCCATGTCCCAAACCCACGTCCAACCTGTTTTAAAAATTGCAGTCTGTAGTCTCGAGAAAGCCCTCGAGTATTCGGCCCCCTTTCGACTAATTTTAGTCATAAGAAATATTATTAATAGACATCGAATTACGGCTCCGCAAAGCTAACGCTTTTGAGCCGCGACAAATTTATGAATTTAAATTAAAAAAAATCCTTGTTCAACTTGGCATTAAACTTTGCATAATTGTTTGATTAATATGGGCAATGATTCACATATCTTCTAAAATTGGGTCATTTTGAATCTTGTAATTTTCTCAAAAGGGCGCATTTGACATTTTTCAATAAATCATAGTACGAAAAAATCACTTCTAATCGAAGTGACGTCTGAGACAATGTTGTTGGGAAAAATATAGTCTTTCCAGGAAAAATATACACGGTAAATTTTATTCAGTAATTTTTACAAAAAAATTTAGATTAAAAAATAGTTGATACAAAATGCGAACTTTTGGAATATTGAAAACTTTGGACACTAAAAAATTGACGTGGTGTTTCGGGGTAGCAGCCATTCGGGGGTAATGACGTTCTGAGTCAATTACTTCTAGATAGAGCTGGAATTAGGGCGTAACAGCTTTTGTAAACAATGACTTCTCTCGATGATTTCTAGAAAGCCAAGACTTGCCCACTCAAATCAACGTCACCATCGGATAGAGGAAGACTTCCCCTTCCCGTTGGTTATGTTGTTTGGTGTGGGCGTGCCTTGAGTTACGAGAAATCATCGAGAGAAGTCATTGTTTACCAAAGCTGTTACGCCCTAATTCCAGCTCTATCAAGACTTATCAGTTGCCAATCCAGCATTTTACGAGCGCTGATGGCCGCCACAATCTAGCTGAGTTTCTGGTAGGGATCATTCGATTTGATGCTTGGGTTAGGTCGTTTAACGTATAAACGATCAAATGTGACCGTTTAAAGGTCAAACGACACATGCCAAACTTCAAATCGTATATTCCCTACCAGAAACTCAACCAGATTGTGGCGGCCATGAGCGCTCGTAAAATGCTGGATTGGATTACTTAGAAACGCATTTTACCCTTTAGATTCGATTTAACAGTTTTCGATCAATTGTTATCCTCCCTATTCAAAACTATTTCGAGCACCATGGACGGTTGTTTGCAACGAAAAAACAAAAACAAAGCTCAATCAAAAGCAGGGATCCTGTTCGACAACTTAAAAACAGAAATCGGTTGAGATGTGCGACGCTGCGTTCTTTTCCGTAAGGCTTTCTGTAGCTCTGTAGTAGTGTATCAATTGCTATTTTTTTCTGTTCAATAAAAAGGCTTTTTTTCCGTTCGAAATGACTTACGTTTACACAAGTTTGGGGGGTTGGGGGCGGCGGGGAGGGTGGTGAAGAAACTATGTTGTGCTTAATTTTAGTTAGGGATAAGTAGCGTATCAATGCAGAGCATGCAAACTGTAGTTCTCATCGCCTGTGTGGGTGTGTGCGTGCGTTCGTGCGTGCGTGTGATCGTGTGTCTTGAAAGGATCAAGGATCATCTCAACATACTGGTGATCCTGTGGTAGAAGGGAATTTTCAAACTAAATTCTACTGATGAAGCCTAACGAGTAGAGTGTATGCTGTCTATTATGTGGAGAGCGAGAGATCGCCGGCGTGTGTTTCGTAATCAAATTTATGTATGAATATGTATATGTAACGGAAGCAACACATGCAAAATTCAATTCACAGCACAGGAGCAGTCAATTCGAGAAGGCTAACTTGAGTGTGTTCATACTAGTAGTAGTAGTAGTAGTAGTAGTAGTAGTAGTAGTAGTAGTAGTAGTACGTAGGTGAGAAATCGTGATACTGACCTTGAGAGCGGATTTTAGAACCACCACGTCACCGGGACTCTGAACCCACGGTTCCCCATCGACCTGTACCGGTATGTCCGAGTGTAGATGAATCTTGATGTGGCCTCCCTAAAAGTATGCAAACAGCATTACTACGGTTCGGATGTCACCTGATGGCACAATTACCTGGGCTATTCGCATGGCTGAACGCAAACCGGACTGTATCTGACCGAGATGGACGACTCCGGTCACACCGACGACCTCCAGCATTCCGTCCCAGTGGTTCGGTTTGCTGAACTGATCCTCCTTCTCCGGTCCCCACGGATTAGCACCAGAACCCCAACTGTTTTGGTAGAAAACCGTCATTCAGATTCGCCGACCTGTTGAAAATCACTCACCTCAAGATGTTCAGTATGATGATCCCCTCGACGGGCGGTAGGTCCACCACCTTGCCGTCGACTTCGAGCCGTATCGCCTTGTGCAGTTCCTTGACCGTCTTGCGGCCGACCATCTTTCGTAGGCCCATCTTGACGTATACACCCTTGTTGTGCAGCCGGGAGTTGAACTTGTCCGGGTTCTCCTCGCGGGCGTTGTGAAAGTCGAGACACAGATCGGCGTCGATCCCAATGCCAAAGTAGTTGTTCATGACGAAGATCTGCGAGTTGTCTTCGCTCTGCGTGGCTCCAACGACTGTCGAGAAGAGGAAAATTTGTAAAAGGTTTCTTTTGGAGTGGTCGCTGGGAATCTGAACAGAAGTACAAGAACAAGGCATCCAAGCAAGGCATATATGTCATACAAGTCGGTAGTTTAGTAGGAGGTCTTCGATACTGTGGCAAACTGATCCGAAATCTGGTTACATAGTTTGAAGAGGCTGCTACGCTAGCTAGTGGGAAGGTTCCAACAGAATTTTAACGCTTTCAGGATCAAAAACCTATTTCGTTTTACTTTGTTTAAGCCGGATGGATCGACGGTTGATTTTGACATCGGAAATCACTACGATCTTTGGGCCCATGGAAAGGTGATTCCCGGTATGATCTCTCCCAATGGCAGGGGGTGAGCTCGCTATCCAGGGTTGGGAGAATAGCGAGCTCACCCCCCCTCCTACGGCAAGGTAATCAAACTGGGGCATTCGAATTGTAGGAAATCACCCTTCCGGCATCAATAACATCAATAACAACACCACATTCACATGAACACCAATTACAACAACAGCAAATGATAACGCTATGGTAATATCATTATTGCAACACATCGATTGTAACTCTATCAATGGTTAAACCGTTTCAATTCGACTTGCAATATAGTAAACACGATCAGGTCATGCTAGTACGGTACGTATTTGGGTGAGTTTCGAGTGTTTGTGTTTCGCAAACGGATGCACCAAAGTGTGGATTTCTATTTAGTAAGATTGTCAGTGCTACTGCTATTGCTTGTAATTTGTTATGCTGCCGATAGACGAATAATTGATGGATGTTTAGTCTGACCCAGGGTTGCCAGGTGTATTTTGAAAAAAAAATCTTCACCGAGATCGACGAACTGTCTTCACCTGTACTATTCCAAAAAATAGGGTAAGCTATGCAGTATTTAAGATTTTTAAAACTGAGTCTTGTTGAAGTTAAGAGAACATCGTTTGATTTCAATGAACGAGGTGTGAACGGTTACAACAACTTTGAATAGCGGTACGATGTGATATGAAGGGCTCGGTGGCCTTAGAGTGACCGTGTTTGCATACTGAGTTTAACATCAGACCCATCCACATTCAAGATTTGCCAACGGTTTTTTTTAATTTGACTACATGGTAATACAGCAAATCGATGATTAAAACGGAGCTCGTTTTTGCTCTCAAGCTCGTTAGCGTTATACGACCCTATTCAGCTTATCATTTACCAAAACGAACCCTGCTGCAAACCCAACATTCCAGTGATTTCTCGTGAAAGTGCAGAGGAATCCTCGGTTTCCATCAAAGCAAGCGAGTGTCACGTCAACACATTCCTACCCATTCCTTTCTTGACCTGCGTTCGGGCGCGGTCGGCGCTGGTATTGCCCAGTTTGAGATCAACAGTTTTTACACATTGAGGATGATTGTGTTGGAGGTAGAAACCTAGCAAGCGACGAATAATCAAAGCAACCTACAAGTAAATGTATTCTCATAGTCTGAAATAAAATGCCATTCCAAGTTTGTCTCTCATCAAGCTAAGACGTATTTTCAAGTAGTAGTAAATCCGGTCTACGACCATATCACATTCAAGAGGTTATGGGCCCGAAGAAGTTCAAGATGGAAAGATCCGGAATAACGAAGGTGACGAACGAAAACTACGAAACCTGGAAGCTGGAGGTGGAATTCCTGCTGGTTCGCGAAGGACTATGGAAGTACATCGTGCCCGGAGTCAAGCCGGAAGAGGCTGCAAGCCGAGCGAACGCGGCGGAGCTGATTGCCTGGGACGAAGGGGATCAGAAAGCGCGTGCGACCATTGGGCTGCTGCTGAGCAGGAGTCAACACGGCCATATCCGGGCTACGAAAACCGCAAAGGAAGTATGGAAGAATCTGGAGAAGCAACATGAAAAGAAGTCACTAACGTCGAAGGTTCACCTGCTGAAGCGGATTTGCGATCTCAAGTTCCAGGAAGGAGACGACATCGAGGACCACCTGGTAGAATTCGAGAGTTTGTTTGAAAAACTGGCCAACGCTGGTACGAAGCTCGACGACGATTTGCAGGTAATCCTGGTGTTCCGCAGTCTACCAAGCTCTTTCGACGCGCTGACGACTACCCTCGAAAATCGGTCGGAGGACGAGCTGACGCTGGCTCTTGTAAAGGATAAAATTATCAATGAGGTGCAGAAGCGAAAAGGGACTGTTCCGGCGGATTCAGCGGTATTGAAGGTGGCCGGGAAATCGAAATCCATTGTGTGCCACCACTGCCAGAAGGTCGGCCACAAGAAGCGAGATTGCAGAATTTGGCAGAAGCAGAGCCAGGATGAAGTTTCTCGAAGTGAAAAATCGGTTGCCAAGGAAACCAAGAAGTTTGCCAAGCAACAGGCAAATGCAAGAAAAACGGAGTCCACTGAAGAGGATTTCGTTTTCAGCGCTCGTGAAGGACCAGTGACGAAATGGATTGTGGATTCTGGAGCCAGCTCCCACATGTGCGCCAATCGAAAGTTTTTCGTATCCGTTGAGAAACCACGAGACGATATCCCAAGTATCGTTACTGTCGCTAATGGGAAGAAAGCATTCGTGAAAGGTGTGGGGAACTGCCAGATCCATTGCTACGGGAAAGACAGCGAAGCGAAGCAAATCGTGCTCACCGGTGTCCTGTACGTCCCAGATCTAGATATGAAAGATGGCACGACTGCCATTTCCAAAGGAAGCAACGAAGAAAACGACGGCTGTGATGGACCTGGTACACAGTGACCTGTGTGGACCAATGAGGACGGTGATCCCGGTTGGTCGTCGTTATTTCCTGACGCTTATTGACGACCACAGCCGGTACACAACGCTGTATCTGATGCGAGAAAAATTAGAAACATTTGACGCTATCCAGAACTATGTGCAGAAAATGAAGACGAAGTTTGGCAGACCGCCGAAAGTGCTGAGATCCGACCAGGGAGGCGAATATCGTGGCTCGAAGATCATGACGTTCCTCAAGCGTGAAGGTATCCAGCAACAATTTACGGCAGCATATTCACCGCAGCAGAACGGAGTCGCAGAAAGAAAGAACCGTTCCTTGGTGGAGATGGCCAGGTGTATGCTTTTGGAAGCAGGTATGCATAATCGCTACTGGGGAGAAGCAATCAACACAGCAAGTCATCTGCAAAACATGTTGCCAACGAAAGCGGTTAATCAAACTCCGTACGAGATTTGGCATGGAGTCAAGCCGGACGTTTCGAACCTGCAAGTGTTCGGAACATCAGCATACGTATTTGTTCCTGAAGTCAAACGATCGAAACTCGAATCCAAAGCCGAAAAACTTACTTTTGTCAGCATGAAGACGAACAAAGTGACGATTAGCCGGGATGCCCGATTCCTGCCTTCGATGATCGACAAGTGGGAAATTTCCACAGAGGACGAAGGTACGTTATTCTTTCCGTTATCGCTATTCAATCAAAACCGTTGTGAGACGGATACACTGGAGGAACTGAGACAACCTGAACCAGCAATCGATCGTGAAATCATGGAAGAGGAAGATCTCCACGGTGTTGAAGAACATTCGGATGAAAGCCTGTACGAAGATGCTGATGAAGCAGAAGTACTCGATGGAGGTGAGTCACAGGAGGAGCCGGTACCAATCCACGTAGAGCAAGATGTAGGTACACAGCGACTATCAACCAGGGTGATGAAGGGTATTCCACCTCAATGTCGTCTCCTTCCTGGAACTTGAGATCGCAAATCGCAAAGAAGTCACTAACCTTCGACGTTAGTGACTTCTTTTCATGTTGCTTCTCCAGATTCTTCCATACTTCCTTTGCGGTTTTCGTAGCCCGGATATGGCCGGTGAGAAGCTGTGACTAGTCCGGAGAAAGACATGTGGAAGCAAGCCATACAGGATGAATTGCAATCGATGTACGAGAACAACGTGTGGGAGTTGACCATGCTGCCGGCTGGTAAGAAAACCATTGGATGTCGGTGGATCTTCAAAAAGAAAACGGACGAGAATGGAGGGTCATCCGGTACAAGGCGCGGCTTGTCGCTCAAGGGTTTACGCAGAAATATGGATTCGACTACGACGACGTTTTTGCTCCCGTGGTGAAGCAAACAACGTACCGGACACTATTCTCCGTCGCCTGCCAGAAGAAACTTCTCATCAAACATGCAGATGTCAAGACAGCGTACTTGAATGGTGAGCTACAAGAACCCGTCTACATGCGGTTGCCTCCTGGATGCACAGCGAATGCAGAAAACGTGGTTTGTTGTCTTCGCAAAGGATTGTACGGGTTGAAGCAAGCCTCCCGTATTAGCATGCGAGACTGAAAACGACTACAAGGCCATCGTTAATGAGCTGATCCAATATTTCACGGTGACGTCGCTCGGGGATATCCAGCACTTCCTTGGTATCCAGGCCTTCCGTTCCGAGAAACACGTTGCACTAAGTCAGAGAGCCTACATCCAGAAGCTTCTGACCAGATTCGGTTTGGAAAACGCGAAGCCATCCGCTATACCATTGGACCCAGGCCACCTACATCCAAAGGAGGAGATCCCGCTGCCCAATAACCATCAGTATGCCAGCTTGATTGGTGGGTTGTTGTACGTGGCCATGTGTACTCGACCTGATGTTGCAGCAGCTGTTTCAATCCTGGGGAGAAAAACTAGTTGCCCATCACAGGCTGATTGGGTGGAGGCGAAGCGTATCCTGAGGTACTTAAAAGGTACTATTGATCACAAGCTAATCCTGGGAGCCGATTCCACGCAATTGGAGGTGTACGTAGATGCCGACTGGGCTGGTGACACCAAAGATCGCCACAGGCTACCTGATCCGGTATGCAGGTGGTATGATTGGATGGTGTTCCAGGAAACAAGATTGCGTAACATTGAGCAGTTCGGAAGCCGAGTACGTTGCTATAACGAAGAGCTGCAAGGAGCTATGCTGGATATTACGACTATTCGACGATCTGGGAATCCACACCAAGTTTCCGGTTACTGTGAACGAGGACAACCAGAGCGCCATCAAGCAACTCGAATCCAACTCCAGCGAGCGATGTTCGAAGCATGTTGACACGAAGTACCACTATGCGCGTCAACTGAAGGAGCAAGGAATCATCAGTCCACAGTACCTTCCAACAAACGAAATGATTGCAGACATGATGACGAAGCCTCTTCAACGTATCAAGCAAACGCGGTTTCGAGATGCAGCCATGATTCTTTCGTCGAGGAGGAGTGTTGGAGGTAGAAACCTAGCAAGCGACGAATAATCAAAGCAACCTACAAGTAAATGTATTCTCATAGTCTGAAATGAAATGCCATTCCAAAATTCCATATAAAAGGTCTCTGAACTACCTTGTAGAAGTAGAAATTTTTCGAACTCACTTCTAGAAGTTGTTTAGGTTTAGTTTCCTCTGGCCTTGAGCTAGATGTCCTTTAAATGTTTCGTAAAAATCTACTAAACTAGACCTCCAAGACCTCTGGTCCAGATTTTTAACAAGCTCACCACTGAAGTTCGGTGAACATTATCAAGAAGTTGCATTTTCCCTAAAGACTTTTAGATCTAATTAATAGACCTGTGCTATTTGAATAACTCCTAGAAGTTTTGGAGGCTTCTTTCTGAACTCGACCGAGAATATTTCCGGACTTGGTCCAGAAGTCCTTTGACCACGACTTAGAAGTTATTTGAACTTGATTTTGTGCTTGAATTCATTGGACCTCGACGTTCAGAAATTTTCCAATCAGGACATACTTGAAATCTTCTGTGAATCCTTACTGATTGTTCCCCAAAGAAAATCGACCGAGTAACGATTCTTGAATACTAAATTCCGTACTGCGCTCAACTCAAAAAAAAAAAAGATCAACGGTCAAAATCAACACCAATTATTCGCATCTCGGGCAGCAACTCTGGTTCTTTGTCGAATCACAAACAGCACGAAGGCGCGTCCGGCATTACAGGATATTTCAACCGCAAATATATATATATATATGATTTATGGTGTACTGTACTGTGATTATTTAGTTAGTAAATTAGGAAAGTAACAGCCATCGATAACATTCAAAAAGACCTTGCGTTTGGCTGATCGCGCTGATCGTCGTCGCGGGATGATGGTGTTGATTCTGTTGTTGTGATTGTTGTTGTATTTTCTTCTTCTTACCCGCTGAGTTGCCCTGCGACGGTCTCGGTGCTGCGTCTTCCGGCTTGTCCTCGGGATGGAAGACCACGGTCCAGCGGTCCAGCCGGATCTCCTCGGCGTCGATGACGTCCCGCAGCAGGTTCAGCGGATCTTCGCCACCGGTATAGCCGGCACCCCAGCGCAGCACCCGAGCCAAATCGTTGCCTGCCGGGGAAGAGAGAAGGAGTTTGGTTAGATTTTTTGTTCTGCTAGTTCTTCAACATCGTTGTCCTACCGGTTCCAAGCGGGACGATCGCACACGGTGGACTAGAACATTCCGAATCCTGACCGACATTGTCCAAGCACTGCAGTACCCATCCGATTGTGCCGTCACCTCCACAAACTAAAATTTTGTAATCCTGAATGTGTCTGAATACATACAGTCTAGAGGGAAATACGAGAGCGGAAAAATTAGGTTTATCGAAATCAACCAGCGGAATTGGTTGAACGCTGCTTACCCAGGCAGTGGTCCACCATTATCCAGATCAAATACTTGATATGGATTTAACAATTTCCGAAAACTACTAATAAGCTCTAATCCTTGGCATCCACCGGACTTGACGTTGACGAATACCAGCAACGGTTGGACTCCCTGTGCAACCATGCTCGGTTCAATGTTCGGTAACAGCAGCACTAGCAGATGCTTATCCTCGTACTTGGACTCCCGCAAGGCTTGGAATGCACGAACCTAAGAAAAAAAAACAGAAGCGTGTTAGAACAAACCTCCGGCATACACTAGGGGAAAGATCAACTCACAGCTTTGGATGCGTTCTCGTAGGTTATCACTAGCGATCCGTACTCGTAGTAGATCGGACCGATACTACTAAACTTGTTTTCGAAACCAAGGATTTCAGTCAGTATGTGTTCGTAGTTCCGCTGCGACAGGCCCGGAGGTAGATTGCCGACAAACAGGGCCAGGTTCGGTCCGTGCGGGTCCTGTTTGAGCTGCAGGTAGAACCGCATCATCTCCATCTGGCGGATCGAGTCCTTCCCGAGCTGTTTCATAATCTCCCACGGGCGTTCGTTCCACGACAGGACCCGCTCGGTGACCCCCCGGTCCAGCAGTATCTCCGAGCAGCGGTAGTCTTCGATCTGGTGTCCTTGGAGGCCGAATTTCTTCAACGACTCGCCGATGAGATCCTTCACCGCCGAGTCGTTGTCCACCGGGATGTTGACGTACGCGTTCTCCACCTGCAGCTTGCCGGGGTAGACCCTCACGAAGCCGTGATCGTTCTCGCGGTCACTGGAATGAGAGAGTGGGGTTATGTTTTTTTAATGTTCTTCTTATTATGTTTTCTCGTTTCAACTATTCGAATTAAATATGTCAAACATAGTTTGAACAGGTCGTAATAGTGATTAGTAGATGTATGGCTTATTATTATTCAGATTCGGATGTCTGTGTTAGGGAGATTCACTTCAACGATTCACTGATTTAATCTCAATTGCTTAAGGTGGACGGAGATTCGGTGGGTTTGACTTTGCTAATTCGAATTTAATAAAAATATATAGAAATGATCTTGCGAAAAATTCCTTCTGTGCAAATTATAACAATATTCCGAGCTATCACTAGCAATGTCTACAAATGGAAAACAAACTTCAATATTCCGAAAACTTTTTCTAAAGCTCTGAAGGTAAAATACATCATTTATCCTTTGCCTTTGAAAAATAACATCAACTAATTCGAAGTTCAAGATTTTTAAAAGCTATTTACCAAATCCTGAGTCTTGAATCTCTATGTCAGGAGCCTGAGGAAATTTGCAGTGGCTGAATTACCTATGAAGATAATTTCTTCATTTCTAGAAAACAACTCTTCGTCGGATATCCTTGGAATCATCCAACCCAAGTAACAATTTGGGTTTTATGAGGGTACTGTAGACCATAATTCAGACTTGCAGAGTGCTTTAAAACCTCAATAAAACCTGCAATGTTACTTGGGCAAGATGTCAACGGATTTGCTTTCCTCTTGATTTCCCTGAACACTGTTATTATTCTCTCTGGCGTTCCATTGAAATGTTTGAATCTTAGAGCCTTCAAAATCCTCTGTTTACCACTTTTGGAATCCCCTCTGGGAAATGCTTAGAATTCAATCTACAATTATCTTAGTCTATTTTCAGGTTGCAATCATATGCAATTGTCGTTTCAATCGTGAAAAAAGTCATTGCTGACATTTTGTACATAGGTTCTCGGGAAATGGCTTGAAAATCTGTACAGAAATTTCTAGGAATTTTCACGATATTTTTTTTCAGGAACTTCGCTTGAAATTTTTTCTAAGCATTCTCGAATCATCCACCTGGAAAGTCGCTTTAAATTCTGAGAAGATGTTTTTAAAAATTTGCCAAAGATCCTCATTGGAATTTCCTTGCATTTCTCTTCTCAATTTTGTTTCAAAGATCTGAATTTTGAACATTCTTTGAAGCCCAAGAAAATAATGAGGAGAATTCAAATTCAAATGAATTGAATGAATTTCAAGTATGTTCTTAGGAGAATTTCAAGGAAGTTCTGGGTATAATTCCAGGATAATTCTGAGGAGAATTCGATGGAAATGTTGAGGATAACTTCAAAAGAAATTCTGAGGCATTCCTGAAGGAATGCCGCAGCAATTTAAACGGAAAGCTTCAAAGTAATTCTGTGGTGTACTTAAAGGTGATTCCTTTGAGCGTTCATTCTTACACTAATTCTGAGCAACATTTCAAAGAATTCCCGATCATAAATCCATAATAATTTAAAAGAATATTCAATTTAAGTTTTAAGAGAATAGCTATAAAACGCTGTGAAAATTCCGCTAGAATTTTGAGAAGATTTCAATGAAGCATTCCAGGTGTTTGTAGAGAATTTCTAAAGTGTTTTGAAGAAAATGAAATGGGAATACTAGCGAAAGTAGCTGGATGGATTCCCAAGTAACATTTTAAGTTTTATAGTGGATTAAAAGCATGCTACAAGTCAAAATCATGCTCTACAGAACCCTCATAAAACCAAAATTGCTTCTTGGGTTTTGAGGCAGTTCCATACCAAATGGCGCATCGATCAGACTCGAATTTACAAGAAGCTTTGCATAATTGTATCACATTTCTGCTAAAATTCGGCCATTTTGAAACGACTAAGATTTTTTTTTTTAATTTTATTAGAGAGATTTTTAGCCGTTGGCTAGTTCATCTCTAAGGCCTAAGACGCGGTACACAAGTTACGTAAAAAATCTGCATTTTGACCCCCTCCCCTCCCTATGCAGCAAAAAGTAACGCTTGTTAAGACCCCCCTAAAATTTCGTATTGCATACTCACTTGATTTCGAAAAATTGCGGACCACTTAGGATCAGACTCATGAATTGACACATTTTTTGGAAGTTCCGGATCATCCGGACCCTTAGACCATATTCTGGTCACAACTTCGAATTCATTCTGATAAGACGTCTATGAGAGATTTTCACTAACCCACGGAGCTCTAGAATCAGTTTGATGAATTGACCACTTCTACTGATGTTCCGGATCTCCCAGAGGTCCATTGCGTGATCCCCAGAGTCCATATTCCGGTCACAACTCCGAATTCATAGTGCTAAGACGTCTTTGAATGGTTTCGCAAATAAGCGAAGCTCTAGGTTCAGTTTCAAGAATTGACCACTTTTACGAATGTTCCGGATCTTCCCTTCCGGTGGACCATCCAGTGGTTCCCTTAGACCATATTCCGGTCACAACTTCGAATTCGAATATGAGAGGTTTTCACAAACCCACGGAGCTCTAGAATCAGTTTGATGAACTGACCACTTCGACGGATGTTCCGGATCTTCCAGAGGTCCATTCCATGATACCCTGGGCCCATATTTCGGTCACAGCTCCGAATTCATTCCGATAATCAACACAAATCGACAAAACCGCGGTGCTCTAGAATCAGTTTGATGAATTGACCACTTCTACGGATGTTCCAGATCTTTGAGAGGTCCATTTCGTGATCCCCAGAGTCCATATTCCGGTCACAATACCGAATTCATTCTTATAAGATGTTTATGAGTGGTTTCGCAAAAACTGTGGAGCCCTAGGATCAGTTTCATGAATTGACTATTTTTTCGGATGTTCTGGATCTTCCCTTCCGGTGGACCATCCAGTGGTTCCCTTAGACCATTTTCCGGTCACAACTTCGAATTCGAATATGAGAGGTTTTCACAAACCCACGGAGCTCTAGAATCAGTTTGATGAACTGACCACTTCTACGGATGTTCCGGATCTTCCGGAGTACCCTCCCGTGAACCTTAGGGTCCATTTCTGCTCACATCTCCATATTGATAAGAGTATAAATCGCTGAGTTCTAGAATCCATTTCATGAATTAACCACTTTTACGAATGTTCCGGATCGTCCAAAGGTTCATTCCGTGATATCCAGAGTCCATATGCCGGTCACAACTCCGAATTCATTCCGATAATCAACACAAATCGACAAAACTGCGGAGCTCTAGAATCAGTTTGATGAATTGACCACTTCTACGGATGTTCCAGATCTTCCAGAGGTCCATTCCGTGATCCCCAGAGTCCACATTTCGGTCACAACTCCGAATTCATTCTGATAAGTTGTTTATGAGTGGTTTCGGAAAAAAAACTAGGGAGCTCTACGATCAGTTTCATTAATTGACCACATTTACGGATGTTCCGAATTTTTCAGTGGACCATCTTGTGGTCCCCAGAGTCCATATACCGGTCACAACTTCAAATTCATTCTGATAAAACGTTTTTGAGAGGTTTCGATAAAACCACGGAGCTCTAGGATCAGTTTCATGAATTGACAATTTTTTCGAATGTTCCGGATCTCCCGGTGGACCATCCAGTGGTTCCCTTCGACCATATTCCGGTCACAACTTCGAATTCATTCTGATAAGACGTTTATGAGAGGTTTTCACAAACCAACGGAGCTCTAGAATCAGTTTGATTAATGTTCCAGATCTTCCAGAGGTCCATTCCGTGATCTCCAGAGTCCATATTCCGGTCGCAACTCCGAATTCATTCTGAAAAGGCATCTATGAGAGGTTTGAAAAAAAAAACCGTGGGGCTTTGAGATCAGTTTTATGAATTGACCACTTTTACGGATGTTCCGGATCTTTCGGTGGACCATCTCACAGTTCCCAGATTTCACATACCGGTCTCAACTCCGAATTTATTCTGATAAGATGTTTATGAGTGGTTTCGAAAAAACTGTAGAGCTCTACGATCAGTTTCATGAAATGACCAGTTTTACGGATATTCCGGATCTTCTAGTGGTCTCCAGGGTCCATGTTCCGGTCACAACTTCAAATTCATTTTGATATGACATCTTTGAGAGGTTTCGATAAAACCGCGGAGCTCTAGGATCAGATTTATGAATTTACCACTTTTACGGATGTTCCGGATCTTCCAGTGAACAATCCTGTAGTCCCCAGAGTTCATATTCCGGTCACAACTCTGAATTAATTCTGGTAAGACGTCTATGAGTGGTTTCGAAAAAAAACTGCGGAGCTCTAGGATCAGTTTGATGAAATGACCACTTTTACGGATGTTCCGCATCTTCCACAGGACCAGACTAGTGACCTGCCGGAAATTGAATTCTCTCAAAAGTTGTCCAACTATCTGTTTAACAACTTCTTCAAAGACATCAGGAAGCTTTCTCTTCAAATTGCCGTACAAGTTCAAACCCTATATGGTAGGTATATTCGTTAATGCCGGATCGACCATATTACAGGAATCCAGTGGCAACCGTACTATAGGAATCTTGACTGTATAAGAAGTTCCAAGAACCACAGGGAAGCTAGGTCTAGAGATCATCAGGAATCAGAGCTCTCAAGGGCAGTCACAATAGCCTCAGAAACGTCCAGACTTTCGGGCACGTTTGAAGATCTGTGAAGATTAGTTTCGCTAAATTCAGGACAGCACTATAAGCAACCGGTGGAAACTAACGATTTTAAATTTGCTCACTACTTGACAAGCCTATTGGTCCCAAGCAAATCGATTATCGTACCCCATTCCAGGCTCGTGGATTTTCCTTTGTTTTGAGGGGTGCATCGATTAGCTTGGGACCGAAGAGAGTACCAGAGCTGAGCCAAAAAGTTGAGCACGTTTCTTCGGGACCTACTAGTCTTAGAGTTACCTCTATGCCATAAGCGTCAGAAATTTGTTGAGAAACTTTTAGAAGTTCGAAAAGTTTCAGGGAAGTTCAGAACTCCTGAAATTTTAAGAAGATTTTAAACTTGTTTTTCAAACTTTGCAGCAGTCCAGACTGCAGAGATTT